CACAGTACCCCAAGGGTGCCCTTTGAGGGGTTTTGAGCAGGCATTTGTTCAAGGGTAAGCCTGCTGACGCCCTGTCTCTCCCCACAGGGATTGCTCCATCACGGCCAGCGGCAAACGGTAAGGTGGCAGGGGCCCCAGCCAGCTGATGAGAGGTCCTCAGTCCCCACCCCGGTCCTGAAATTCTCCCTCCCCACACAGGCCATCTGCCCGATTCCCCCATCAGCGGAGGAAGAAGAGGAGGGAGATGGATGAGGGGCTGGCCGAGGGAGGGCCACAGCGATCCAGTGAGTAGTCGGTGGCCCTGGAGGGCAGGCAGTGATGGCGGTCTACGTGACGATATTCATACCCCTCCCACTCTCACCACCCTAGACTCGTACGTGATCAAGCTGTTTGACCGGAGCGTGGACTTGGCTCAGTTCAGTGAGAACACACCGCTGTACCCGATCTGCCGAGCCTGGATGCGCAACAGCCCCACAGTGCGCGAGCGTGAACACTCACCCAGTTCACCGCTGCCCCCACTGCCTGAGGATGAGGAGGTGGGATGGGTGGTGGGCCCCCGCCCAGCAGCCAGGGAGGGCAGTGGGTAGACAGTCGCAAGGTACCTTCCCCCCAAGCTAATGGGATAGACAAGCATAGGTCTCTGTGTCTCTCGGGTAACTCCTGGATCCGGTGAGGTACACAGATAGGAACCTTTAGGCCAGGGGAACGGTTGGAGTGCCCCAGAGCAGACAGACGTGGCTATCCGGTCTGGGAGGGAGAGGGGACAGGGTTCCTCTGGGCAAATAGATGTGACCTCCAAGATCAGGGGTTCCCAAGAGCTGGGGGACTGGGCAGGGGTTCTTAGTGCAAACAGGTGTAGCCACCTGGCCTAGGGGAGCAGATGGGGACCCCTTGGGCTGGGAATGGAAGTCTCCATAGATAGAGGTCTGTGTGCTGGGCAGGAGTAATTGAGGAGATCCCTGGGTTGGATAGGAGAAAACAGGGATCATTGGAGCAGACAGACATGACTCCTAAGTACAGGTCCCTGGTGAGACCCTCATGTCTTTTGTCACTGGGAAAGGAAGGAGGTGTGAAATGTGTGCCCCTGGCCCTCTTCTCTGACTCTCTTGGGCTTGGTGTGGGGTCCTGTATCCTCAGGGTTCAGAGGTCACCAACAGCAAGAGTCGTGATGTGTATAAGCTGCCTCCACCCACAGCTCCCGGACCACCCGGAGATGCCTGTAGATCCCGAATTCCATCCCCACTGCAGCCTGAGACCCAGGGTACCCCTGATGATGAGGTGGGTGTGCAAGGCCAGCCTGGGGCAATGGGGCAGGAGTTGTGGGGCTCGGGCGTGGCCACCCAGCCTGGCCTCTCTGTCCATGCAGCCCTCTGAGCCTGAGCCCTCACCCTCCACACTCATCTACCGAAACATGCAGCGCTGGAAACGCATCCGCCAGAGGTGAGCATCCCCCAAATGCTTGTTCCCTGTGGCCTGTGCTCCAACTGCTGAGTCCTCCCTCTGCCTTCCCCCCACCCCAACTGCAGGTGGAAGGAGGCATCCCATCGGAACCAGCTTCGTTACTCAGAAAGCATGAAGATCCTACGGGAGATGTACGAGCGACAGTGATGTTCCCCTCTCCCCACCCCCACCCCAATAAACATTCCCCTCCTCCACACTGGCCTCCGCTTTCTCCAGCCCATCCTTCCCGGATCAGACATAAAGAAGTTGGCACAGTTCTAGCACATTTATTGGGGGAGTGAGGAGACGGGGCATCAGGGAATTTGAGGCGAGAGAAAGATTGTGGGGAATCAAAGAAAGTGGCTGCTTGGTTGGGTCTTGGAGAATAAGGGGAGGGGTGTGGAAGGTGGATATGTGGTTGGAGACTTGGGGGTCAAGACAGTGACTGGGGGGTTCTGGTTAGAGCTGGGCGTAGGGGCCTAGGACATCCGTGCAGAGTCTGAGGAGATGGGATGGGTATCTGTACAGTGTGAGGTTGAGGGTCCTGGTTGGCCTAGAATAGGTGTACAAGGGTGGGGGTCAGAAAAGGGGTTCAAGAGTCTGGGGGTGGCTGGCTGAGGTTTCAAGTTAGAAGATGGGTTGGGGGGAGAGAGTGAGGAGAAGTGGAGTATCTGGTTGGAATGAGGGGAAGGACCCAGAGTCTTGGGGACCAGGCCAGGAAGGTCCAGGGTGGGAGGTCTGTGCAGAGTCTGGGACATTTGAGGGGAAGCAGGGGCTTATGCTTGACTAGCCTAGGCCTACCTAGGGTGGGGGCAGGTCTGTCTACACCATAATCTTGGGTGGGGGGGGGGACTGAAACGGGGTGTGGAGATGTTTTCCTAGAGAAGTCAGAAGGAAATAGGGAGTTTGGAGTGGGGTTCTATGCCAAGCGGGGTCAGTGGGGATGGGAGACTGTAGGCTGAGAGCCTGTGCTTGTAGGGTCTGGAAGCCAGAGAGGTGTTGGGAGGTTTGAAAACAGGAGAGTGTGTGAGAGAGGGAGTGTCAGCGGAAAGGTCTAGGTTATCAAGGCTGAGTCTAGGTTGGAAGGTTCAAGGCAGATCCCAGATTGGGTGGGCGGGTAGTCTTGGCGCGCTCGGGATATCTGGCTAGGCGGAGTCAGGTCGGCTTTAAAAGTGCGGTGGAGGGGCCTCAGGCGGCTCCCAGGGTTCAAGCGTGCCCTGGCTCCTACTTGCCGGCAGCCGCTGGCGGCGACGGCAGTGGAGCCTGGGCCGGAGCAGGTGCGGCCTGGATGGAAAGGACGCCCTCAGGGGACAGCGCGGACGTCACGGCCGCAGGGTCCACGCCAGGCGGCAAGCGGTAGCGGCGGTGAAACTCGCGCGCGATGTATCCGTGCTCATCCTGGAGGGAAAGAGGCTTGAGGGGCTCGGCCCATTCCCTGTAGATGCCCCGCCCCTCCGGTCTGCGGATCCCGCGTACTTGTTCTGGCCCCGCCCCCGCCAGCGGGCTCACCGGGCGCTCCTCGTGGCGCGCGTGCACCTCCACGTGGTCGCCAACCACCTTGACGGCGATTTCCTCCGGTGAGAAGTGCTTCACATCCAGCAGCACCGAGAAATGCCCGGGGTCAGTCGATACCTGTGCACAGCCCGATAGTCATTGGGCGGGGCGAGGCTCCGGGGACCAGAAAGGCCCCTCCCCTTGGTTCTCCGTTGGTTCCGGTGCTGCAGCTGTTCCTGGCCTCTGGAACTGGGGCGTCCCCTTTCCTACACGTAGCCACCGAGGACCTCTTCGCCCAGAATAACTGAGATCATCCCTCCCCTTGTGGCCACTGGGATTCCCCTCTCATCCAGAGTGATGAGGCCCCCTTACCCTGCAAGGTCAGGGACCTCCGTCCTCACGGGGTAAGGCCTGCCCTCCCCCCCAGTGTCAGCAACGCCGTAGTCAGCGTGTCCTTCTGAACACTGCTCAGCCCCCTTCCCCTCAGAGCCCCAGGGGCCCTTACTGCGCCACCCCCGCCAGAAATCGTCAAGATGCCTCCTCCCACAGTCTCCCCTTTCTACCCTCCCACTCGAGTCACGGGATTGCTTGAGCCCTCAGTAGTTACCAGTACTCCTCCCCCACTTCTGAGTGGCCAGACCCCCCTTTCTCAAGTCACAGGACCCTCCCTCCCCTCTACCTCTCCAGGAGACATACAGTCACCACAGTCTCCAAACTCTCTTCCTCAGGAATAACAAAATATTCCCTCCCCTCGGAAGGCACTGGTAACCCCACGCCCTTCAGAATGACTGGGCTCCCCCTTTTTCCCAGATTCCCTGGGTCCCCAGCCTCCTTCAGAATCACCAAGACTTCCCTCAGAGTGACCGCCCCCACCCAATTACTGACCCAGCCCTTACACTCCCTCTCGAAGCTGAGACCCTCCTCAGACTGACGGGGACCTCCTACCCCTTTCAGTAACCTGAACTCCGAGAATCCATACTCAGGGAACTCCGGAAGCCCCTCTGAGGGGCCGGACTCTCTGGCCCGCTCAAAGTCAAGGGACATTCCTTCACCCCCCGCAGGGTGACCGGGGACCCCAGCCTTGGAAGTAGACGGGTTACCGCCCCTCCCCCAGGCCTGGCACCTGGGCGGTAGGCAGCGCCACGCTGGGTGCGCGCAAGTAGTAGGGGGCCAGCGCGGCGGGGCAGAGCGCAGCCAGCTCGGCCTCCAGCAGCCCCTCGCCGAAGCGCTGGTCGAAGAGGCGCCCGGGTGCCGAAAGCCCGGGCAACGGGGCCGAGGCGCGGCGCAACCAAGACGGCTGCACAGGCACCGGGATCTCCATCGTGCTCCGCCGCCGCCCTAGGCTTCGCAGTGCCCCAGCGGGTGCCGCCGCTGCTTTATAGTACGCTCTGTGTCCGCCCCTCGGCGGGCCGCCCGGGGACGTTGGGACTGCGGCCAGAGCCGGCCATTAATAGAGCCTTATTTAGACAGCCCAAGAATGACTTGGCCATTTATTAAGCGCCTGCTGAATGCCAGGGAGGTATCATTCCCCAATTTTCCGAAAGGAAAACTAAAGCTGAGGAGGCGGAGCCTTGCCAGAGTGGGGTGCAAGCGTGGCGTTTGGGATCCACGGCCTGAGAAACCCACCAAAGAATTCCCAGTCCCTTTAATCCACCCCCGCCCCAAAGGCGCTCTGAGGATGACGCAGATGGCGGTCTTAGGAGCAGATTCCTGGGTACAGGGAATGCGGTAGCTGGGCCAGGCTGTCAGGAGGACACAGAACAGACCCTATTCCCATCTCAGCAGGGCCCTGGTCCCAGCCTAAGCCGGGCCTAATTCTGTGCGTCTGACTCAGCCTCGGGTGCACAGGACAGCGGGGTCTGCCAGGTGAGCAGCGGCCAGGGGGCGCGGGCAAGAACAGTCCAGGCTGGCCCCCCTAGGGCAGCGCGCCGGGGCCCAAAATAGCTCATTTTGATCCAGCCACCTCGGCCAGGAGCCCAGGCCTGGCATCTGGCGCAACCAGCTGCTCCTGGAGCAAGACGGAAGTGCTTAGATGACGGGGTGGGACTGGTAGGCTGCTGGACTGATGGAGGGACGGCGGTTAGAGAGGGCATAGACGCCCTTATTGCCCCTGCAACGGGAAAAGCCGTAGTTAGACTGAAATCTGGATGAGATTTACGCAGCAAGAGGGGGAGTGGCCAGAATACACGAGTACAGGAAAGCAAGAGTGCATTGGAACCCCTCCTAACCGCGAGCCCAGTCTCAGCTCCTTTCAATTGGTCCACGGACTTGCCAATTACTGCAGCTCGCTACGGTTCTCCAATTAAACATGCTCTCTCATTCACGTTACAGCCAACCAATTGTGAGACACCTCCCTTTGGCCACCGTCCAATTACTTTTATTTTCCTATCATTCGTCGCCTTGGAGGCCGCTCTCTTCCCGCGCCTGCAGTCCCAGAGAGGGGCGGGGCTGATAGGGCATTGCTAAGCGACAAAGATGCGCTCCGAGTGAGTCCGGTGACCGAGCAGAGCAGGCGGAATCGGTGAGGTAGCTGCGGGATGGACCGCAGGTGAGACCGATCCCTCTTCCGGGGATCACAAGGGGCCTGGGGAGGACCAAGGGTGAGAGCAACGCAGCCTAGGATCAGGTTTTCTAGGGTGCGGAGTCTCTCGTTCTCAACGGCACTGGAACTACAACTCCCAAGATGCTCCACAGCCTTAAGCGGCTCCCGCCTTGGACTTCACCGTCTCGGGGGTTCCATAGCGTCTTACGTTCCGCTAAGTGGCCCCGAGGGCTTTTTTTTTTTTTTCCCTCTAACCTCGCAATTCTCAGGGGCATCTTGGGAATTAAGATTCTTAATTTTGAATTTGTCCCCAGACTCCCATGGGTGTTATTTTTGACCTTTCTTGCTTAGGCGGAGCCCAGTGACTATAGGGACTGTAATCCATCTACCCCTTTCTCCTCAGAGTGTCCCAAGGACTTATGGGAAATGTACAGTGATAAGGTTTAGCCCTTAACGTGAGCTCCACTTCAGAATCACCTGGGACACTGCGAAGAAGATGTATGGAGATGCCCAGCCCCCTTCCTGATATTCTGATTCTTTTGGTCTGCGGTGAGGATTACGCATCTGTAGTTTTAAAAGATTCCTCCTAGACTGGATCCACGGTTAAGAACCAACAATCAGCAGTTCCTGGGTTCTTCTCTTTTGAGACTGCTCCAAGGGCTGGTGGGAATCGTGCGTCCAGTATCTTTATCTTGAGTGTGCAGTGGTGCTTCAAGGGAATTATAGTCCATCTTTTCCAGGAATCCATGGGAATCATAGTGTGGTTCTGCCCTCTTACCGTTCTCCCATCCACCCCACCCACATACAGCCTCCCAGCAGGGCTGCAGTGACCTTGCTCTGCCTGCCAACCCCCCTCTCCCCTTGCAGCTTGCCAGTTTTCTCCACCCAAGACAGTACTTTGGGGGACGGCCCCCTGGGTCGAAGCCACTTCTGACCTGGCACCCCAAGGTGAGGACACCCAACAGAGAGTGCTGTGTTCCAGCCCAGTAGCAAGGGAGTGACGACTAGAGGGAAGGAAGACATGATGAGAGATGGGGGTGAGAGATCAAAAGACAGTCCCTCCTCTTTTCCCTATGGCCCTACCCTTATCCTGTCCTCTACCACCTAAATCCCTCATCACAGCCCCAATCACTTTGAGTTGTTGCAATCGTGGGATGTTTCCTCCCCTCCGGACTGAGACTTCGTATGTGTCTTCGTTACCCTACAGGGATAACCCCTCAGCCTCACTTTTTCTTCTCCTCGTTTCCCCTATCTTAGACCCTGAGCTCATCCAGGTCCCAGAGATCCAGGCTCCCAGAGGCTCCCAGGGCTCTGGCCACAGGTCCCAAATCCCCTGAGCTGTTTGAGGAGTCCTGGCCATCCAGCTCAGGGACCTCTTCCCCACCCAGCACCACTGAGGGACAGATGAGAGCCTCTCCACCACTCACCGTGACTGACAGCGGGGACTCTGTGGTGGCCAAGTAAGTAGCAGTAGCCCTGGGGGAAAGGAAGGGTTTGGATCAGTGGGAGGGGGCAGACATCCCATAATATCACAGCCAGATCTGCACTTTTAGGACCACACTTCATGCATGTTAGCAAGCGATCTGGAGCGAGGTTCAAATCCAAGCTTTGTCACCAACTCTGTATATGATCCTGGCCTCAGTTTCCTCCTCTGTAAATTGGAGATATTAATAGCGTGTATGCTCTAGGGCTGTTTTAAATTTTCAATGAGTTACTGTCCGTGCAGCATCTATAACAATGCCTGTCACATAGTGAGCACTTGGATTTGTAGGATCCAAGTTCAGCTGCTATAACATAGAGTCCCAAATTAATTGTGGCTTAAACAAGAGAGTACTTATTTCTTCCTCACCTAATAGTCCAGACAGAAACAACCAGGCCTGATATGGCAGCCCCTAATTGAGGTCTCAGAGACACAGTTTCCTTCTGTCTTGTCGCTCTCACTTCCCTAGGCTGTTACCCTTTCCTTCATGGCCCATAATGGCTCCCAGCCACATCCACTTTCCAGAATCACATCTCCTCGTACCTGTTGGTCAAGAACAGAGTTACATGGCCATAAAGCTACAAGGGCACCTGGTAAATGTATTTATAGAAGAGTGGCTATGTGCCCCGGATTATATCATCTTATATAATACTGCATTACTGGGGGACTTCCCTGGCGGTCCAGTGGTTAAGACTCCGCACTCCCAATGCAGGGGCCACAGGTTCAATCCCTGGTTGGGGAACTAAGATCCCACATGCCGCACAGCATGGCAAACAAAACAAAACAAAACAAAACAAAATTGCATTACTCTATAAGAAAGGAGAACTGCTGTCGAGGGACAACCCCCAAGTGCTGCTATGGAGTTAGGTAAACATTGGCTATTGTGATTATTATTGTTATTTTTAAATATTAGGCTCTCCTCATCCCACCCACCTTGCAATTCTCTGATGCTCACAGGTACATAAACCGGTTCCGACAGGCTCAGCCCACAAGCCGAGAGGAACGCGAGTCTGCAGGCCCAACCCCAGCTGACTTTTGGTGGCTGTGGCCTGAATCACCAGACCCCAGCAGTCAGCTTGCAGCAGGTACCTGCTTCAGTCTCATCTACTCCTGGCCTATAACCTCTCCTGAGCGATACCCCCAGCAGCCACTCCTCCTGGCCCCCCCTAAATCAACTGGAGCTTCTCAACAGGAGCCAATGAACCAGAAGGAAGACGCAACACAGCAGTCCCGACTCGTGCCAAGGTGGCCAGCGCATCACAGACTATGGCCCCCCTTCAGGAAATAAAGCAGGTGACATCCCCATCCACTCCTTCCCCTACATGCCTGAACTGGCAGTACCCGCCCTGGGATAGAATTAGAGTCAACCCCCAATTCAAGGAAGTGTAAACAAAAAAGGAAGGTCTTGCTGGCTAATGCAATCAAGAAATCCAAAGGTAGCTGCTTTCAGGCATAGCTGAATCCAGGTGTTTGCACCATATTGGGAGGAACTTGACTCTCATGGCTCTCTGTTCCTCTTTGTTTGGCTCAACCTCAGGTAGGTTTTCCCCTCAAAATAGCTAAGATGGCCCCGTTAACTCTAGGCTTCTAATTTACTTGATCACTCCAGTGGAAAGAGAAGGCTTTTCCAATAGCTCCATCCTAAACCCCAGGGCTTACTCTCATTCGCTCATCTTTGAGCCAATCACTGTGAACCAGAGGACAGAACGTTATGACTAGCCAGGCCTGATCAGGAAGGCAGGGTCAACCCTTCTATAACAATGACTGCACTGAGGGATACGGATCCACAGAGGAAAACCTGGTCTCTCTTTCCTGAGGAGGAAGAGCAGATTCTAAGCCAGCATGTGAGGGCACCAGGTGGAATGTAGACCTGCATCCAGGCCCTCTGTCCCGAGCCCCTTTCCCAGTAGCCTTTGGGATGGGGACTGGCCTCTGACCCCTGTCACCTCACAGAGCCTCAACACGTGGAACTCATCCCTGCTGGACTTGGAGACACTGAGCCTGCAAAGCAGAGCTGCCAGGCTGCTCAAACGCAGGTGCCTCCCCCACCCCCATCACCCTCCCCACTCCTACCCCTCCAGGCTCGGGCCACTGCCTCTGAGACCCCCGTTGCCTCACTTATGCCTCTCCCTACAGCAAGGCCTCCATCTCTTCCTCCTCCTCCCTCAGCCCCAGCAATGCCGGCATCTCCTCATTCCCCGTCAGCTCTGATGGCCTCTCTCCCTTCTCCATGACCTTCACTCATGACTCCAGCAAGGGCTCTGAACCCAAGGCACGAGGTAGGTTCTGGGAGGCAAGGATGAGGGCAGTCTGGGTGCAAATCCCAGCCTTTCGACTTACCAGCTCTGTGACCTTGGACCTCTCTGGGCCTTGTTTCCCCAGCTGTAAAACAGGGGAAATAATTGTACTCCTCTGCTATGGGTGTTGTGAGGATTAAATGAGTTGGTGAATACATGGAAAACCTAGCACGGCTCTGTTAACAGTAGCCATCAGGAGTATGCGTGTTCTCTCTCTGCATCCTGTCTGCAGTTCTGAACACGAAGCCCCAAAATCAGAAGGCTTTTTGCAAATTTGGCACCACAGCTGATTTGCCAGCAAAATTTGATGTAAACAATATGAAGAATATTCATATATCTATTTTATTTTATTGAGGTATAATCGATTTACAATATTATATTAGTTTCAGGTGTACAACATAGTAATTCAAAATTTTTACAGATTATACTCCATTTAAGGTTATTATAAAATATTGGCTATATTCCCTGTGCTCCACAATATTTCTTTGTAGCTTTTTATTTTATACATAGTAGTTTGTACCTCTTAGGCCCTGTCCCTATCCTGCCCCTCCTCTGCTTCCCTCTCCCCACTGGTAACCACTAGTTTGTTCCCTATATCTGTGAGTCAGTTTCTGTTTTGTTCTATTCATTCGTTTATTTTATTTTTTCAATTCTACATATAAGTGATAACATATGGTATTCACCTTTCACTGTCTGACTTATTTAACTAAGCATAATACCTTCCAGGTCCATCCATGTTGTTGCAAATGGTAGAATTTCATTCTTTTTAATGGATGAGTAGGATTCCATTGTATATATACACCACATCTTCTTTATCCATTTGTCTGTTGATGGACACTTACTTAGGTTGCTTCCATATGTTGGCTATTGTAAATAATGCTGCTATGAACATTGGGGTGCATGTATCTTTTTGAATTACTGTTTTCATTTTCTTCAGATACAGACCCAGGAGTAGAATTGCTGGATCATATGGTAGTTCTATTTTTAGTTTTTTGAGGAACCGTCGTATTGTTTTCCACAGTGGCTGCACCAGTTTACATTCCCATAAACAGTGTACAGGGGTTCCCTTTTCTCCACATCTTCACCAACATTTGTTATTTGTGGACTTTTCAATGATAGCCATTCTGACAGGTATGAGGTGATATCTCATTGTGATTTTGATTTCCATTTCTCTGATGAGTAGCATTGTTGAGCATCTTTGAATGTGCCTGTTGGCCTTCTGTATGTCTTCTTTGGAAAAATGTCTATTCTGGTCTTCTGCCCATCTTTTAATCAGGTTGTTTGTTTTTTGATGTTGAGTTGTATAAGCTGTTAATATATTTTGGTCATTAATCCCTTATCAGTCATACTGTTTGCAAATATTTTCTCCCATTCAGTAGGTTGTCTTTTTGTTTTGTTGATGGTTTCCTTTGCTGTACAAAAGCTTTTAAGTTTAATTAGGTCCCATTCATTTATTTTTGCTTTTGTTTCCTTTGCGTTAGGAAACAGATCTACAAAAATATTGCTATGATTTGTGTCAAAGAGTGTTCTATGCCTGTGTTTTCTTGTAGGAGTTTTATGGCTTCAGGTCTTACATTTAGGTCTTTAATCCATTTTGAGTTTCTTTTTGTATGAAGTGGGAGAATATATTCTAATCTCATTCTTTTACATGTAGCTGTCCAGTTTTCCCAGCACCACTTATTGAAGAAACTGTCTTTTCCCCATTGTATATTCTTGCTTCCTTTGTTGTAGATTAATTGACCATAAGTGTGTGGGTTTATTTCTGGGCTCTCTGTTCTATTCCATTGATCTACTTGTCTGTTTTTGTGCCAGTACTGTTCCGTTTTGATTACTGTAGCTTTGTAGTATAGTCTGAAGCCAGGGAGTAAATATTCATTCTTCTTTCTATGGATATATAACATTGAACCATATGAAATTTTTGTCTGTAAGTGAAAAATGGTTGAATAATGGCAATTTCATATTGTTCAACTAAATACCAATGTGTTTGAGTCTGGTGTACTGACCCAGACCCCTGTCAACACTGTACATACCATGTAACTTTGCTAAAACATGCAAACTGTTGAACTTGCAAATTTCTGCCCCCAAGATTTCAGAGATTGGATTAAGGACCTGGGTTACTGTTACGGTCATCGTTGTTACCGTTACTCTGTGCCCAGGTCCTGGGATGCAGTGGTGCACAGGACAGATGCTTTCCATGTTTCACAGGACTCCCATGAGTGGGAACAGGCAAGCAGAGAGAACAGAGTGGTGTTTGTGCATGTTGTGTGATCCTGCCCAAGCACTCCCCTGTCTGATTCTTTGCTCCTTCTCTTCTTATTCACTTCTCCTCCTTGAGCCTCAGTTTCCTCATCTGTAAAATGGGGATAAAACTACTACCTACCTCATGAGTTGTTTTGCAGATTAAATGTATTCATTATTTCACATAACAAACATTGAATATCTGTTGTGTATGAAGACTGTGAGCAGGATTGGGGATTCCTTAGTGAACCAACCATACATGGTCCCACCTTCATGGTCCTCACAGGATAGTGAGTGTGGGGTAGAGAATAGCTACATAACTCCACAAACAAATGTGAAATATAAGCAGAAATGAGGGCCATGCAGGAGAGAACTGCGATGCTGGGATGTCAGAGAAGGCCTTCCTGGAAGAGGTGCTATCTAAGTGGAGACCTGAATGATGCAGGTGGGGACAATAGCCCTCTAGCCTGTACAAAGGACCTGAGGTCGGAGGGAACACGATGCAGACAATGAACTAGGAAAGGCAAGAGCCAGGAGTAAGAGTAGTGTGGGATAAGGTGGAAGAGATTGGCAGGGGTCGGATTCCATGGGCTATGTAGGCATGTGAGGCATTTGGTCATAATCTACCGGGGAGCCACGGGAGAGTTCTGAGCAAGGAGGGCACGGGATCTTTATCGCTCCCTATGGCTGCTATCAACAACTAGTGAGAGACAGACTCTGGTAGTTTGGGTTGGGCCAGAGCCTGAGGAGCAGAGTAGAGGGGAGTGGCCAGGTCTGGAAGTAGAATCACAGTATATAGAAGGGAGAGAAGAAGAGGTCCCACATGATGCACCCCCCCCCTTCTCGGTGCAGCATTAGTAGGTGGGGCTTCCGAGAGATAATGGTAGCCATGCTAATCATAACTGACAAAATGATGCTCTGGGTGATAGGGAATGGTGTCTCTTTGCCCCACAGGACTGAGGACAGCCAGTGGCCCTGCCTTTAGTCACAGCTGTATTCCCAGCACAGGGCTGGGCACTGGGATGGAACACAATAAACAGTTCATTTTGCATTTATGCCACAAATACTGACACTAGGTCCTGTTCTTGACACTGAGGATATGATAATGGCCAGATAGACAAAAATTGCTGCCCTTGTGTAGCTGGCATTGTGGAGGGAGAGGTGAACAATAAATAAGCAGAGAAGTATGATATTTAGTAGTTAGAAGGTAATAAGTGCTAAGGAGAAAAATGAAACAGGAAAGAGGATGGAGAGTGGTAGGGCCGGGGTTGTTGCAGTTTTGAATAGGGTAGCCAGGGAAGGCTTCACTAAGAAGGTGGTACCTGGGAAAATATTGGAAAGACTTGGAGTGAACCCTGTGGTTACATGAACGAAGAGCCTTCCAGGCAGAGGAAACCACAAATGCAAAGACTTTTGCTTTTTACCAGGAGAGAGGTGCAGCCCGGGGAAGATTCTAACCCAGGAGCACCCTGATCTGACTCAGGTGTTCACAGGCTCCCTCTGGCTTCGGGTGGGGACAGTTTGGGAGGATAGGAAGAAGGGAAACCAGGGAGGAAGTTGCTCTGAGGTTGGCGGGTGAGGGAAGGAAAGTGGGGAGAAGTGGGCAGATTCTGGAGGATCCGCCTTGGTCACTGCTATAACCACCACGTCCAGAACAGTGCCTGGCAAATAGTAAGAGCTCAATAAATATTTGTTGATGAATGAAGAATTGAATACGACAGGTTGAGAAGCCCATGAGAGCTCTCTTCTCTGATTCTGCCCCTTTCCCCACTTCCCAATCTGCAGGGGAGTTGGGACATTATCTGGAGAGCCTGTCTGAATAACCTTCTGGTACAGTCGAAGGGTGTGTGCTAGGCTGTCCTTGCTCATCCCCCCAGGCCCTGCCTTACCCCTCTTCCCTCTACTTACTCCACAGCAACCCCAGCACCTGCCCCCATCCCTACTCCAACCCCAGTCTCCTCCCGGGCACCCCTGCGGCAAGAGGATGACATTCTGTACCAGTGGCGGCAGCGGCGGAAGCTTGAACAGGCTCGAGGAAGCCAGGGTGATGGAACCTGGGTGCTGCCCCAGACCCCTGCCCTCACCCCTACGGTGAGATGGGGGAGGGAGGAGACTGAGGGGGCTGGAGCAGGGATCCTATGGGAAGTTGGAGGAAGGGGGAGGCTGAGGGGATCTGAGGACCCTCTACCCTTTCTCTCCCTCTCAGGTCCCTATCCCCATCTGTCTACAGACCTCTCCTGCCCCTGCGGAGACCCTTGGTTCCCTGGGAACCCAGCCTAACTGCATCCCACTTTGGGGCAGTGTGGCTCCACCTGGTCCCCGGGAAGCCTTCCACTTGGAGAGGCCTCCTATTCCCCCAGGGTTCTCTCCACATATCTTTTGGGGCCACAGCCCCCATGGATTCTTCTGGGCCCCGCAGCCCGGTCCCTGGGTATCTCTTGGGGCCATCCCTCCCACGGCCGCGGCCTCCACCCCAGCGCCCCCAGCCTCCACTCCTGCGCCTCCAGCCTCAACCACTGCGCCGTCTGCCTCCACTCCCGCGCCCCCTGCCGCCCCCCAGGGCCCGCCCACCCCTGCTCCATGCAGCCCAGCCGAGCTCGAGAGGCAGAGCTCCAAGCCTCGAAGAAGCAGAGCCCAGCGCCGGGAGTCTGCTGGGCGAATCACGGAAGCGGACGAGGGCCCTGGCGCGCAGCTCAGAGGCGCGCTGGGCCAAGTAGTGGCGGCTCGGCTGTTTCCGGACAGCCTGGAGGACACGCCCCCTCGCCAAGAGGGCCAGCCTCCACCCGAGGCTGAATCTCAGAAAGTCAAGGCCACACGCCCTCAAACCGAGACTCGGTCCTCTCGTTCAGAGGTCACGGCCCCTCCATCTGAATCACGGTGTCCCCAGACAGAGACCCCGCAGGATTGGTCTAAGGCCGAGTCTCGGAACGCCAAGGCCATGCTCCCCCTAGTGGGATCGGTGCCTAGGAAGGACAAAGACACTTTCTTGGCTGACGTCGGGTGTAAGCCGCCCAAGGTCCGGCCTCATCCAGCCGAGGAGGCGGCCACTTGTGTTGAGGCCCCGCCCCGTCCGTTCAAGGAGGGGGCTCTTGAAGTTGTGGTCACGCCCTCATCCGCTGATGGCCACGCCCCCTCAGAGGACGTCCTCTCCCAGGCTGCCAGACTTCTGCAGGCTGCGGAAGGTGAGCAGAGGCGCACAGATGCTCGTGGCTGCCCGGATCTGGATGGCAGTCCAGCACGCTACGAGTCCGGCCCCCTGAATCTCGCTCTTTTTCCCCCAGACTCCGACGGCAGCGAGTTCCAGGACGACCCTATACTGCAGGTGCTAAGGGTTCAAAGGGCGGAGCTGCGGCGGCAGAAAAGGTGACCATGCCAGGATTTAAGACACCCGGCCCCTGAATCCTCTGAGACTCCCGTTTGGTACTCACTTCTCCTGAGCCCCTTTCCCAGAACATACACAGCCCCAGACCCCAATCCTGAGCAAAACTTCAGCCTCTACTCCCCTGTCCTTTTTCCAGGAAAGTAGATGCCCAGATATCCCGCCTGCTGGGCCACACTGAAGACCCAGGGTCTTGGTCTCCTCCAGCCAGGTCGCCTCCCGGGTCCCCAAGGATGCGGCTGAGGAGGGAAGGAGACTATCTTGAGGCCAGACGACTTTGAATTGTACAGATTCTATTTTTCCTAATACATTTTTTTTTTTCAGGTTACTGGTTGTCTCTGAGAAAGAAGTTGTTTTGGAAAGTCCAAGGGTCATGCTAATTTAGGGAAGTAGCTCCCATGCCCCGCCTCCCCCCACACACACCCTAGCTCTGCCCTGCCCCACCTCACCCTAGTTTCTGACCACTGAAGCAAAGTCTCTTCTGGTTTCATCCTCTATGAGGGCAGGAGAGGGGTTCCGGGCAAGACTGGGACTCACCTTATCTGACCTTCAACTCAGGAGTGGATCCTCTTGTCTCAGATGAGACCAAAGGAACTGTCCTCTGGGTATGAAGGTTGTAGAGTCTTCAGAGTGTTGGACAATGGTCAGGCCTCAGTCCACATCCTGCTTGACCCAGCAGCAGCATTTGGTGCTCTGATCCCCACCCCCTCCTTGAAGCACTTCTTTTCCTGGCTTCCAGAACCCCAGCCCTCTCCTCACCTCTCTGGTTGTACCTCCTCATTGTGCCTCACACCTGTCACTTTAGTGTGTCCCAGGGCCCTGGCCTTGACTTTTCTATCTACAGTCAATCCCAGGTGCTCTCATCTGGCATCATGGGCTCTAAACCCCATCTCTTTTCTGATAGTCCACAAATTTCTATCTTCAGCCTAGAACCTCAGGTTCTTGTACCCTGCTACTTGCTCATCATCCACACAAAAAGGTCTAAGAGATGTCTCAAACTCCACAGATCTTAATCTTCCCCCTAAACCTGCTCCTCCCTGGCTCTCAGCTCCATCCTTCTACTTGCTCAGTCAGAAGCCTCACAGCTGTCATTGACTCCTCTCGTTCCCTCACACCCACAGTCAGTTGACCAGCAAGTTCTATCATCTCTACCTTTAAAATCTCTCCAGAATTTAACCCTGCCTTTCTCCCCATTCCACTGCCCCACCCCAGTCTAGGCTATCGTCACCTGTCCGGACTATTGTGAAAAACCTATTGTTTTATCTGTGACTACTTTGACACATTTCCCATCAAAAAAGTAGAGTCTATGTCCCTTCTTGAAACTGGGTTGAACTTTGTGACTGCCTCCACAAATAAAATGCAGAGGAAGTGATATTACTTTAACTTTCTAAATTGGATTGGAAAAGATGATATAATTTCCACCTGTTTTTCTCCCAGTCTCTCTTCTCTCTCCATCTCCCCCCGTCCCCCTCCTTTTGGAGCCCTGGGATGCCATATAAAAAGTCCATTTGCCATCCTGGATAAGGATTTTGACTACAAAGGTGTCAAAAGTCAGTGAAATTTATGAATTGCATGGTATGTAAGGTTTACCTCAAAAGAAAAATAAATATTGAACTCCAATGAAAGATATGCATGCTGAAGTATTTAGGAGACAGTATACAATGTCTCTAATTTATTTTGAAATGCATCCAAAAATTAGATTAATGGATGAATAGAGTAATAGGTAGATGTGAGATAAAGCAAATATAGTAAAATGCTAATGGTAGGATCTAAGTGGTGGGTATATGGGTGTAAAATTGTTCAGCTTTGCTGTATGTTAGAAAATTTTTATAATAAAATGTTGGAGAATATATGATCAGGATTATTTTGATATTTGTATTTACAAAAAAAGAGAAGATAGGATAGATTTCTGTAAAAAGTAGCTCTGTATGTCACAGACATGGTAAATACTTGTTTTCAGTCTTTTTGAACAAACCATACATTTAAATAAAATCAAAAGAAGGAAATAGCTGCTTAGATATAAGGAGAAAAAAAGATGTTTATAGTAGCAGAATCTGATCTTGGGGGGTGAGTGGGACCTAGAAATTTTCCTGAGGAAGTTATATTTGAGCTGAGACAGGTAGGAATTAATAACTAACAAAGGGCCATCCTAATTGCTATTTCTGGGTTACAAGCCACCCCAAAACTTAGTGGCATAAAACAATCATTTTATTATGCTCATGGATTCTGTGAGTCAGAAATTTGGACGGGGCACAGTTGGGGACAGTTTGTCTCTGCTCCATGATGTCTAGGGGTTCAGCTGGGAAGACAAAGGTGGCTTGACAGCTGGGGGCGGAATCTCTGGAGCTTCTTCACTCCCAAGTCTGACATCAGGGCTCAGATGACTTTAAGCTGGAACTACGGACTGTAGTGCCTATACAAGGTCTCTCCATGTGGTTTATGCTTCCTCAGAGCACGACTACCTCGGCAGAGTTGCACTTCTCACATGATGCCTCAAGGCTCCAGAGCTAGTCATTCCAGTGGACGAAGAATGCCTTTGCCTTTTACTACATAGCCTTGGAAATCACATAGTGTCAATTTCTATTCATTCCTATATTCTATTGGTTGAAGTTGTCACAATCCTGCCCAGATGGAGATAGACTCTACCTTTTCATGAGAGGAGTGTGAAAGAATTTGCAGTCGTGTTTTAATGGCGGGGGTGGGGGTGGGGGTGGCGCGCAGAGAATACTCCGGGCAGAGGGAAATTCATGTGGGAAATCCCTGTTATGGAAGTGAGGTCAGCAAGTTCAATAAACTGAAATAAGTAGCTGTAAATTTACCCCCCAGTCAAGCACTCCCTTTCCCCAATCTTGGCTTAAATTTTATCCATAGAACTTATCGCTTTCTAATATTCTATATTTTAAAATTCTTATTTTGTAAACTGTCTTTTCCCACTAGCTTTTGAGCTCCATGTGGGCAGGTTATATTTTCCCCTGTTTTGGTTACTGATATATCCACAAATTAAGCGATCAGAGTTTTTGAATGAATGAATGGGTGGATCAAGGATGTACCTTCGAGGGCCTTGTTGAGGGCATGACCAATGGCAAATTCTCTTGGAAAGGGCGTTGTTACAGAGTGTTTCCTTTTTCTTTCTTTCTTTTTTTAAAATGTACATACCTGGTCCAGGGATCAGAGAGCTGTATTTATTTATTTATTTATAATTTATTATTTATTTTTGGCTGTGTTGAGTCTTTGTTGCTGCGCACAGGCTTTCTCTAGTTGTGGCAAGCGGGGGTTACTCCTGGTTGCGGTGCGCAGGCTTCTCATTGCAATGGCTTCTCTTGTTGTAGAGCACAGGCTCTAGGTGTGCAGGCTTCAGTAGTTGTGGCATGCAGGCTTAGTAGTTGTGGCTTGCGGGCTCTAGAGCGCAAGCTCAGTAGTTGTGGGACACGGGCTTAGTTGCTCCGCGGCATGTGGGATCTTCCCGTACCAGGGCTCGAACCCGTATCCCCTGCATTGGTAGGCGGATCTTTAACCACTGAGCCACCAGGGAAGTCCCTACAGAGTGTTTTCTGAGCCTCAGTCAACAGCGGGAATAATTGGGACTGGCTTTATGGGAGGCGTGGTCATGTTCAGGCATGCAGGCTAAATTTATTCCTAGGAAAAAGGAGTCAAGGCTGGAGGCCAGCCTGTAAGAAGCAGTAGAAGAGGAGGCAAGGAAAATGTCCAGTGAGTAGCGGGAGGCTAAGTCGCAGATTGCCTAGGGTTATGTCCCAGGCAGGGCATCTGAGCCAGTGAAAAACATCCAGAGGCCAATGTTGTTAGTATTCTGTGGGCAGGGGAGGGGTCAAGGACTGACAAAGTGGGGTCAGAGGATCGAGACTTTGAAGAGCTGCTTAGGGGATGGAGAAAAGCTTGAGGCCATGGGAGAAGCCAATTGAAAGTGGCAGAGGAGCGGGCACTGACAGTGGACTAAGGGAAGGGTCCACAGCTTAGTGTTAGAAATGTTAGAAGCAAAGCATAAAGAACCTGAGGGTGTGTCTCAGGAGGGGAATGACGGCCAATGAAAAGCAGGCATAGGCGTGGCGCTGTCAAACTTCGCGGGGCGGGACCGGAGAGACCGAGCCAGAAATGAGACCCAAGCCAATGAAAATCCGCCAGGTGGGCGGGGCGTCGTCCTAAGGCCAAGGGTGGAGCCAATGAGACGCTGCGCCGCGTTCCCCATTGCCCCCGCCCCTGTGAAGCTAGTGCCGGAGCCACGGGCGGCCGTTAGGGGCGGGGCCTGCAGCCGCCCGCGCGCAGCTCGCGCCCTCCCCTTTGTGTCGCCATGGCGGCGGCATCGGCGACGAAGACGACGAGCGAGGGGTCCAGCGCGGCCGGCGCCTGAGGAGGCTACGCGACCATGGTGGTGAGGCGCCCACGCGGCCGTCAATCTGTCGGCGAAGTCAGTCTGTCCGCGCGGGGCCACGCCCCGCGCGCCCCGCCCCCGGCCCCGCCCGAGCCCGCGGCCTGCGCCGCCCCTCACCCCTCACCGCGGTCCCTCTCGTACCCCGGCCTGGTCTTGGGCCCGAGCTCTTACCCGAGCCCCGCCCCCTCAGCGCGCATCCCCCTTCCACGCCCTGGATGGGGGTGACAGTGGCCGAAGACCCAGACTTGGGAGGAAAAAGGGCTGGTCCAGGGAAGGACCCCGCATCCTCCAAGTGGCCCCCGCAGGGGCCTGCTGAGGCTCTCTGGGTCCTTCAACAGCCCCTATCCCAGAGCCATCCTCAGCGTCCTCATCCCAGCCTCCACCCCTCCCTGGCCTAGACCCCTCCTCCTCCTACCATCAGCCGGTTTCTCATTCTTGAGCCCCACCCCCACCCGGCTCCATCCTCAGCCTGACCCTTTTCTTCTCCTTCTCGTCTTTCTCACCCCTTCCCAGTCCCTCTCAACCAACCCTCCCTTATCCCCCATCAGCCTGAACCTTTACTTCAGCCTCTCCATCTGCTCCCCTCCTCCCTACTCCACCCTAATCCCAAGCCTGCATTGTACCCCGATGTGATCCTTGGGTCCTCTCCATCTTCTTGTCCTCATCCACCCTCCCCCACCATCTCCCTCTCCCACCCTGCTGCTCCTGCTCATTCATCCATTCATTCCCTCATTCGCTCACTTAACATTCACTGAGACCTCTGTGTAGCCCCTTTGCTCCAGGCACAGAGAAAGTCAGATCCCCTCCTGCCTTGGGGAGCTTCATGGGCTGGAGAGGGACCCACCCAAGGGTGAGACCCAAAGGACGAAGTCGGCGTTGTAGAGATACGAAGGAGGGAGAGGCTAGAGCCCAGCCTGAGGAATCCTCATCTGGCAGATGGT